GATGGTGCAGATTGTGGTGGCCTCCATGTCCCCAACACCCTCAGTGTCCCCATCGTCCCCTCAGTGTCCCCAATGTCCCCATGGTGTCCCCACTGTCTCCATGGTGTCCCAGGTGTCCCCTCAGTGTCCCCACTGTCCCCATTGTGTCCCCATTGTCCCCATGGTGTCCCAGCTGTCCCCTCAGTGTCCCCACTGTCCCCATTGTGTCCCCGCTGTCCCCTCAGTGTCCCCACTGTCCCCTCAGTGTCCCAGGTGTCCCCTCAGTGTCCCCTCAGTGTCCCAGCTGTCCCCTCAGTGTCCCAGGTGTCCCCTCAGTGTCCCAGGTGTCCCCTCAGTGTCCCCTCAGTGTCCCAGCTGTCCCCTCGGTGTCCCAGGTGTCCCCTCAGTGTCCCAGGTGTCCCCTCAGTGTCCCCATTATCCCCTCAGTGTCCCAGGTGCCCCCTCAGTGTCCCCATTATCCCCTCAGTGTCCCAGGTGTCCCCTCAGTGTCCCAGGTGTCCCCATTATCCCCTCGGTGTCCCAGGTGTCCCCTCAGTGTCCCAGGTGTCCCCATTATCCCCTCGGTGTCCCAGGTGTCCCCTCAGTGTCCCAGGTGTCCCCTCGGTGTCCCCTCAGTGTCCCCATTATCCCCTCAGTGTCCCTATGGTCCCCTCGGTGTCCCCACTGTCCCCTCGGTGTCCCAGGTATCCCCTCAGTGTCCCAGCTGTCCCCTCGGTGTCCCAGGTGTCCCCATGGTGTCCCAGGTGTCCCAGGTGTCCCCTCAGTGTCCCAGGTGTCCCCATGGTGTCCCAGGTGTCCCCTCAGTGTCCCCTCAGTGTCCCAGGTGTCCCCTCAGTGTCCCCTCAGTGTCCCCATTATCCCCTCAGTGTCCCAGGTGTCCCCTCAGTGTCCCAGGTGTCCCCTCAGTGTCCCAGGTGTCCCCTCAGTGTCCCCACCTGGTGGCGGGGCCGGGGTGGACGCCCGTGCTGTCGCAGGAACTGGTGCAGGCCCTGCCACGCCCAGTGCAGCACCGAGGGCCTCTCGGCCTTGCCGAAATCCGTCACCAACATCTCGGGCTCGGCCAGAGCCTCCCGCAACCGTTTCTGCCACGGCACACCCGTGTCAACCAGTATAGACCAGTATAGACCAGTATAGACCAGTACGGACCGGTATGGACCAGTACGGATCAGTATGAACCAGTACAGACCATTATAGACCAGTCTGGACCAGTACGGATCATTATAGATCAGCGTGGACCAGTATGGACCAGTACAGACCGGTACAGACTGGTATAAACCAGTATAAACCAGGATGAACCAGTTCAAAGTGCTATGAACCAGTATAGCCCAGTATACACCAGTACAGACTAAAATGGACCAGTATAACCCAGTATGAACCAGTACAAACCAGGAAAAACCAGTATAGCCCAATACATCCCAATGTGACCCAGTATAGCCCAGTATAGACCAATACACCCCATTACA